CTCTCTCCAGTAGCTCCTCATCTTTCTTGAACTGGGGAGCCCAGCACTGGACACAGCACTGCAGATGGGGCCTCCCCAGGGCAGAGCAGAGGGGCAGGAGAACCTCCCTCAAATCATTAAGTTTGGAAAAGACCTGTAAGATCACCAAGCCAACCGTCGAAGAGCTTAACATTTTCCGCAGCAGAAGGCAGAGCTGCTGTGAAATCACTCCACGCGGGCAGCAATCCTCTGTCAAACCACAGATTTCTTGGAATTCCTGCACCCGGTCCCGGGAGACCAGCACTCCGCCGGCTGCCAGCCCGCTCACGGCTGCACAGGCAGGAGCGTTTCTCCAGCTCATGCACGGAGAGGGCAGCGCCACAGCAAAGGCGAGATTTCCGCCTTCTGCAACGGCAGGCAAAGGCAAAGCCCTGTCGCATCCAGAGCCTCAAACCGGTCTCCAGAACCAACGGCTGCTCGTGGATGAAGCTCAGCTCGGCTCTGGGGCACACCCAGGCACCCCCCAGACCCGCAAACGCTGCATCTGTGTCAACACCTGGCGTGGCTTTTGCCCAAGCAGACCGTCCGTGTAAAGGTGCGGAGGGCCAACCAGCACGAAGACCTGCACGCTACGATTCCTCGCACGCTTGTCCAATTTGTGCCATAATTACAGTTCCACAAAAACGGAGTAAGCTTGCTTCTATGTCGCTCACCTACAAAACCTGTGTTGGGTGCTGGCATGCAGAAGAGCAGCAGGCTGGGCCACAGCCCGATAGCACTGGTTTTCCTATTGCTGGAGGTATTTTTAAAAAGCTGGAAAGTTGCTCGGGGCTATGCTTTAACAATGTTACAACAGTTCACTCCTTCCACAGGTATTTGATTTTGAGATAAGAAGGGAGGGTCCAGAACTCTCCAAGAAGTTTAAATTTTTTTCGCCAGACCCTTCTGTAAGTTATGGTCTCATTCAGAGACTTTATGTCTGTCCTTGCGAAAAATTAGAATGCATTTACAGATAGATGCCTTTCTGCATCTCCAGAGAGGTGCCAGTATGCCTTGTAGGGTTTTTGAATTCTTTAAATGAAAAATAAAAAAAAAGAGAGCAAAGTGAAATGCCACCGCCCAATTTCATTCCAGAAAAGATTCCTTATATAAATCTAAAGGTACTATTGCACCTCTTGTTGGAGGACTACTCAGAATTAATTTGACAAGAATCCAGTCTATGGTCATTAAATAAATACAGCAGAGTTCAGAAAAGCACAGCTAAGCACAGTAAGAGAACAGCTGAAGAGCTGTGCCCTAAGCTAATGACATTCCAGAACTTGTAAAACAAGTACCAGCTACAGGTGATGATGGACTAAGGCTTGACTAACCACAGGTCACTGAGCAAACAGTTAAGAAGGTGTGGATTTTGCACGAAGAGACAACATCTGCAAGCAGGCTGCCTGGAAATCTTTCACACAGTGGGAGAACGAGCAGCAAAGTCTGCCAAAAATATATCACAGGTCACATTGATGACGCAATCCCAGTGACAAAACCACCCCAGGGTAAGGAAGTTAAGCAATGTATCTGAGCAGAAGAGGGGACGCTTTTGTAGAATCCAAATTCAAGGGCTTACTCCGAGTGCTGAAACAGCAGGCCTTTTCTTGAAAGACAGGGAGGAGAGAAGAACCAGCAGGGCTCCTTTCTGCTCAGCACGCCTCCCACCCACGCCGGGCCAGCACAGGCACGCTGCCGCGTTCCCACAGGAGCTCCTTCACCCCGCGACCCAGAGCAGCAGCGAGAGGGACACAGCCCAGGCAGCTGCCTGCAGCTCCTCGGGTGCTCCCCAGTACTCCCGCACAGCGCGGCGACCGCAGCACCCGCGCTTCTCCCCCACGTCTTTTCTCAGGGACTACGAGAGGCAGGAGAGCGCTCTCGTGCAGAGCACTAACGGGGTGATCTGTCACTAGAAAGATCTGTGCCCTCAGTCACACCAGAAGCCTGGGCCAGTGCAGAGACCAGGCTCCCAGCTGTCTCCTACACCTGTAAATGCTGTGGGGCTCAGGCAGGAGCAAAGTGAGGACCTGAGGAACCATCGGGAAGACAAGCATGAAAAAAGGGGGCAAGGGCCCCAGAGAAAGGAGCGGAGTCTCTGGGGAGAGCTGCAGAGCGCATGGGGACTGCAAGGGAGCATCAGATGAAGGAAACAGAAAACGTTAATCATGAACAACCAAAAATGTTAATACTACTGCTGTGACCCTAAACGGATGCTTGGTAGACAGCAGTTCCCTGCCTATTATTTAAAAATATAAGCTCTACGTTTAGGTTACAGACATCCGAGGGGATGAGGTCAGCAAGGCCATTGTTACTAGGTACACTGAGCTATTTCTACTTTGTGTAAACCCCCCCGGGGCCCCAGGCAAGCAGGGAAGTACATGGTAGCTCCCAGACAAGATCACAGCAGGCACTTGAGACAACAAGGGAGCTATTCATCTCCAGGATCCCACATCCTCCCACCAAAAAGCCCAAAGTTTTGTTTTCCAGCACTGGAAAATATCTGAAAACTTTTGATCTCCTCCTTGAGAAGGGAGGAAGATCAAAGGAACAAGCAAGATGTAAAGGCAGGCTGTTAATCCACAGACCCCCCAAAAAACTAGTCACAAGCTCAGGCCGCGACCCCCATATCCTGTAGTCTGAGCAGGGCAAGGCTCCGCAGGGAATCCCCAGCCCGGTGCACGGGCACTGGCGTGATCATGAGCTATTTGCCTACCTCTTTGTGTAATTTTTCCCTGCAGCACTTAAATAACAGTTACAGGAGCCTTTAGCAGACAAACCATCATCACTGCTAGAGAGCAGAGCACCCAGGGCAGGAGCAGCCAGCCCTGTGAGGTGCTGCCGACGGCCCGCTCTCACCCCGCCCCACGGCAGCGGAGAGCCCAGCCTCTGGTGTCCGGGCAGGTCAGCGTCGCAGCTCGACTGGGATCCGAGCGACAACTCCGTTCAGCCACGTGCTCCCGAGGTCAGAACAGCAAGCAGAGCACACGCGTGTTCTACTGCAGCGTAACGACACCCCGCAGGCAAGTCCAAGGCCTTCTTGACTAAGAGACTGCACGGTGGGGAAGCAAAGCACATCCCGGGATGGAACCAGGCAACAGGATCTGCAATCAAGAGAGCTCCAGTTCCCACCACTGGATCAGCCACCCACAGCGCTACTGAGCAAACAGGAACTGCAAATTAGGTGTCTCATTAACACTAGCTTTGTTTTGTACTGACTGTAGGGCAGAAATAGGTGTGCAACAAGGCAGGGGCTGACACAAGTCACGACACGCCCGGCTCTGCTGCACTGGTGCAGACACCACCTCCGATCCCACCACCAGCCCAGCTGCTCTTCACAGAATCACAGAATGGCAGGAGTTGGAAGGGACCTCTGTGGGTCATCTAGTCCAACCCTCCTGCAGAAGCAGGGTCACCTACAGTAGGCTGTAGAGGACCTTGTCCAGGCGGGTCTTGAATATCTCCAGAGAAGGAGACTCCACAGCCTCCCTGGGCAGCCTGGGCCAGGGCTCCGTCACCCTCAGAGTCACCCTCTTCTCCCAAATGAGAGCACGCTAAAGCGCCAGAAGCCGCATCACCAGTGAAAAACGTGACTGGAAGCAAGGCTTCAGCTACCAGTGTCAGTCACTCTGGACTGGTCTGAGTGCTGTCATCAAAACAGACTCCTCTGCTCGCTGCTGCCAGCATCCGCAGTCTCTGCTACCAGCACCAGTACTGGTTTAGCCCCACAGCGAGCCTGGCAGAACTAAGCCCTCAGAAGTTCGTTCTCACTACGCAATTGCTAACACCATCCTTGTCCCTCTCCTGTAAAAATGAAACCTGTCACCTCTCCTGCCTGTTGCCCCTCTCCAGGGATACAGGCAGGCCACAGAGCTGGAAAGAAAGAAAAAGAAACAAAAAAAAAAGAAGGGCTTTGGAAGCGTAATTAAAAGTTGGACTCCAGTTGTGAAGGGGCTGATGAAACAGTTTATTTACTGAAGTCTAGAACTGGAACACTCCTTGCTGTATAAACAGACTGACCAGCAAACGCTCCTGTTGTGGATTCAGGTCTCCCCTTCAGCACGCTCTGGAGCCAGAGTTCAAACACCGGCCATAAAAGGTCTCTTATCTCTTGACATTTCCAGAGAGACAAAAATCGCTTCGGAGCGTGGAGACGGAGCGCGCTCCCTGCGCAAACACACCCAGCGGTTCTCCCGGCGCGCGCAGACAAGCCCAGTTCACGTGGCGCTGGCTGGGTCAGGACACCCGCTGCAGCAGGGCGTTTGGCCCAGCTTAGAGAAAGGTGTCAGGGCAAGAGAAGCGAGCAGGGAGGGGACACGGGGCTATTCGCAAGAATCACAGAAATTCAGGAAACTGAAGCAATTTCTGTAAAGCCTTACAAAGAGCAGAGGGGGAGGGGGAAATCCTTTTCTCATTCTAAGAAATATCGTTTGAGGATTGTGCATTATAGCACAAAACCATCGTAAAAAGACAGTTTAGCAAGAATAAAGGGAGAAAGTACGAGAATTACTAAAAAAGTGTGCAGAGGAGATTTCTGCTTTGCTACAGAATCTGCACAAAACCGAGCCGCCTTCTCAAGCTCAGAAGTGGCTACTCAGAACCACGATGCCGCAGTAAATCACAGATGTAACCACACAGAACACATTGTCTGGCTCACTCTTCCAGGCCAGCCGTAGGGGACCTCTTACCTTTTTCCTTTTTTTTGAAGACTCGTCAGCCAGGCTGGTCTTTTTATCTCTTTCTGCTGCTGCTGCCACCTCCTCTTCCTCCTCTTCTGGAATGAGGCTATATTTGGTACCTCCAGGCTGCACGAAACACTCCTTGGCAAAATGACCTGTAAAATAGCATTGGAAGATTAGTCAGGCAAAAACTAAGACACTCTTGCACGAACAGGGCAACTGGTAGAAACTTGTCTGCACAAAGGCTTAAACAGCAAGGAAAAGCGTATGGGAAAGGGAGTAAATTGGTGTGATAGGCACCGGGTAAATAAGACCAAAGCCACAAATACAGAGGAAGTCAGCTCAGGCTGGTTCTACCCTTTCTACTCTGGAGATATCAAAGTTGACCTACTAACAGCTGTAGCAGAACCTGCAGATAGATAGCATCTGCCTGCCTGTTATGAGCAGACATCATCATTAAAAAGCAGCCTGCAAATATGCAGAATCCAGTACAAAGTTCGGGAATTCTCTAAAATGGTATTTTAAAGATGGTTATCTGCCACTACAGAGAACAGAGCATTAACTCCAGCTTAACTATTCACTCTGTGGCTAAATAACAGAAGACAAATAGGGTGCAGCAAGAACTCTGCGTACAAAAAATTACTTTATGCCTCAGCAACTCGCAAAAAGCTACCAAAAAGGCATCACATAAGCCAACTTCCCACTGCTGAGCTAGGCAAAACACAAAAATTTCACCACGTTACAGAAACTAAATGCTTGTTTTCAGCTCTGCAACACTGCTCACAAGCTAACACAGTGTTCCCAACAACTGATCAGCAATTTCTACTGATCGTTCTTCACAATGAAATGATCTGGTGAAGCCATGTGTTTACTTCTTAAAATGCAAAAACGGAATGGGGCCTCAGCTATAAGACACATTAGCACAAATACTGCAAGAAGGAAAGCCATACTGATCCCGTACTC